TTCCCTGAGATAATAACCATTAACGGTTTATTATATATCCCTTTATTATTAGTGCTATAACACTTATTAGGTTTCTCTTAAATACAGAGATTACGAAGGAGAAAACCCAAAAGGTATCAAAACCTCTAGATACATATTGACATAAAAATATATTGACTTAAAAAAAAAAGCAATACATACATAAGTTTGGAAAAGCCAAAAACTCCTGAATGAAAGACACAAAATGAAAAATAAACACGTCTCTTTCACTCACTACTGTCCCAGGCCAAATCCCTCTCCCCAAAGATGACCACTGTTGGGCCGGCCCGTGGCTCACTCGGGAGAGTGTGGTGCTGATAACACCAAGGCCCCGGGTTTGCATCCCTATATAGGGATGGCCGGTTAGCTCTCTTGGGAGAGCGTGGTGCTGACAACACCAAGTCAAGGGTTAAGATCCCCTTACCAGTCATCTTTAAAAAAAAAAGATGACTACTGTTAAATTTTCCTATTTGCTTTAGTTCAAAATGCATTTCTTCAACCCAGTTCACATCCTTATCTGTAGACGGGTCTGTTTTTGGACTTTCCATTTTCTGTGCCCTTTCTCTCTCTGCTGTTCTAGGACTAGTACCATACCATTTAAAGTATTTTATTTTTACCATATGTTTTAACAGCTAGGAGGGCAAGTCCTGCCTTACTGTCCTTCATTTGCAGATATTGTGACTATTCTACACTTATTTTCCATGTCAACTTTATATTGTCCCCTACCCCCACAATTCGGCTGAAATTTTGTTGAAATCACATTGCTTGTATAGGTGAATTTGGAGATAATGATTTTCTTTATGGTAGTGAGTTTTCCCTTTGTGGACATCATTCTCCTGTGACTGCATTCAGATTTTGTAACTTTTCTTGTTTGGGATCTTGAACACTTCCTCTTAGAACAATCTTAATCTTAATCTTAGTCCATCTGGTGTTATAGTGGCAGCCACCTAAGAAGAAAAGGGGTGGGAGGCTTGGTCTCTGTCTTTCCACACCCCAGGGCCATCAGGTAGGAGAGGCTGTATGTGGACTGCTCAGCAATGCTCCACGGAGTAGAACTAGGACCAGCTGGGGTTCACCCAGAGGCCGCCTTTGGCTAGGCCAACAGAAGAATGTTCTATCTGTTGGAGCTGCAGGGCCATGAAACAAGCCACTGGGGGAGGTGGTGAGCTCTCCACCACTGGCTCTTTTCCAGTGTTCCAGGGAAAATGTAGCCCCTGCTGCCCCAGGGGCTTCCGGGCTGGTAAGGAGTAGGGAGAGGATGCTGGCTGACGAGGGCCCCTGGCCTTCCCATTCTGCCCCATGGGAGAGGCCTGCTCTGTGCCACTCACTTCATTTCATTCTTCCCAATGACCCCTGGAGTTGGAATGGTGTTATTCTGTTTTAGGTTCAAAGACAGCAAGTCTCAGCAAGGCCAAGTGACTTAACCAAGATCACCCAGCTAAGAATGGTGCAACCAGGATCCCAAAGCATACACCCTCCCCAGTCTGCTGATTGTGATTGTCCCCTGGGAGCCCCTGCTCACAGTCAGGTAAGACAAGTTAGATGCTGGAGCACCCTCCTGCCTTTCCACTGGGGACAGCGGCTGGGCAGGTGAGTGGCCCAGTGGGTAGCAAGAAGCACCCGGCTCCTCTCCTGTCCCTGGTTCTGCACGTCCATCTGTCTTTCCCCCTGGGCAGCACTTGGCTTGGCTTACAGTGTCCTCAAGGGGCCAATGGGCTTCTTGATTCCAGGCTGCACATCTGGAAGTTGACGCTATTTAAAACAAACCCCATTATATAACAAACGGCCATCTGGAACCCGTTAGCGCTGAGTTTTTAGAAAAAGAAAATTGTTTTGGATGTGCTCTCTCCTAAGAATGTGGCAAAGAGCCCTAACCCTGGCTCTCCAGGAACCCAGGGACCAAGCAGCCTCTCCTGGGCCCATTTCTCGAGGTATCTCAGGCCAGGCCAGAGGTGGGCTGGCTAGGGACAGGGACAGACCCCCCAGTCAGACAGACGTCACTGTCTCCTGCTGGCTATGTCTTTGGAATTTCTAATTTCATGCAGATATCTATTCAGCAAACACTTGCATGCCTACTATGTGCTGCTGATTCCATGTCATCCCCACTCCCAACATCCCCACTGAACCTAAGTACTCCATCATGCTGAGAAAAAAGATCATGGACTGTCCCGATCCTAAACAGCAACGTGAAACAACTCTGGGCCTCAGTTTCCTCAACAGCAGGCCTGAACACCTTAACTATTTCCTAGAACTCCCTAGCCTCCTCTGGCCTCTCCCTGAATTGTCCCCCAACCTTCCTCCCTGGACACAGGTGTACCGGGGCTAAAACATTGGTGGGGGCACTGAAGCCCTAGTGACTTGGGCATGGGGTTGCGGTGGTTCTCTCTGAGTAGACCTTGATCTAGCAATGGAGATGCTTTATGAGAAATGTCTGGCTAATATTTTCAAATGGAAATTGTACCCGGGGCTAAAACATTGGTGGGGGCACTGAAGCCCTAGTGACTTGGGCATGGGGTTGCGGTGATTCTCTCTGAGTAGACCTTGATCTAGCAATGGAGATGCTTTATGAGAAATGTCTGGCTAATATTTTCAAATGGAAATTGTATTTTTAAATTTTTTTCCTCCAACATTTTGTGATGAAAATTTTCAAGCGTACAGAGAAGTTGAAAGAATTGTACAATGAACACTGTATATACCCACCACCTAGATTCTGCAGCTGTTGATGTTGCTATATTTATATTTCCACATATCTATCCATCTATTTGCCCATCCATCAATTCAAAAGCAATTTGTAGACATCAGTACACATTACCCCTTAACACTAGGCATGCATATCATTGACTAGAGGTCAGTATTTGTTTCTGGCTTTCTTTGAGGCAAAATTGACAGACAATGAAAGGCACAAGTCTTCAGTGAGTTTGACAAATGGCTGTGTAACTCAAACCCCTGTCACCATATACAATTTACCATCAACCCCGGAAAGCTCCCATGCCCTTCCTAGTACATTCCCAGCCTTGGTTCCTCCCAGAGGCAACCACTATTCTGGTATTTTCACCATAGACTGGGTGTTATGGGCTGCATCGTGTTCTCCTATGTGTTGAATTTTGAACCCCCAGTACCTCAGAATGTGACTGTATTTGGAGACTGGGTTTTCAAAGAGGTGATTAAGTTAAAATGAGGCTCATTGTGGTGGGATCTAATCCAATATGACTGATGTCCTTATAAGAAGAGGAGATTTGGACATGGGTACAGAGAGAAGACCATGTGAAGACACAGGGAGAATACAGCCACTTACAAGCCAGTGAGAGGGGTCTCAGAAGAAACCAAACCTTGATCACAGGCTTCTTGCCTCCTGAATTGTGAGAAAAAACATTTCTGTTGTTTAAGCCTCCCAGTCTTTGGTACTTTGTTATGGCAGCCTGAGCAAACTAATATACTAGGTTTGCCTATTTTAGAATTTCATATAAATAAAACCATGCACTATGTGTTCTTTTGGGTCTGGCTTATTTTACCCAGTATAAGGCTGTTGGGATTCATCCATGTTGCTGCGTAAACCAGTACTTTGTTCCTTTTCATTGCTGAGTAGTATTCCATGATATGAATATACCACAGTTTGTTTAGCCAGGGCAATTTATTTTTTAATAACAGAGGAATCGTTTGGTAACATTTCACTTTAATGTGTGTCCTCGATGTCATCCCAGCAACAGAGCAGACGTTGCACAGCCGGCCCTACTCAGCAGGGAGCTGCAGAACTGTACACAACTGACCTGTTGAAATACATACACCTCCTGGAATGAAAAGTTCTCAGAGATGAGATTAAATTAGTAGCACATCATTTTTATCTCAGCAAATACAGACAAACTTATGATGTTACAGGGGCCTCAGATCATCATCCATCGGTTACAAATAGCACAGTGATGACTTTGACCTTGGCATTTGAATCTCATTTGCTGTGTGACCTTGGGCACGTCACTGACCTTCTCTGGGCCTCACTTTCCTCCTCCAGGAAGTGAAGCTCAGGGTCCCTTACATCAGGGTTGCATGAAGTCTGAATGAACTAATGAGATTGGGGGGAGAAAGTAAAGGCCCAGGAAGTGCTGGATGCTGTGGTATGTTCCACTCAACAGCGTCAGGGCCAGAACCTTCACTGGAGAGGGCAGCGAAAGTGGAATTTCTGGGCCTCTAAGAGTAGAAAATGAGCTTTTTGCACTGCCATGTATAGTAGCGGAGACCACGGAGCAGGGTGGGGAAGACTGTGTCACATCACCAAGCCGTCAAGATGAATTAAGCTGAGGCAATCGTAGCAGATGCGGCACTTTCGGAGTTTCATTACACACACTCCAAACTGTGGGATCAAAAGGGCTTCCATCTGCACAAGTTTGGTACGTGTTTGACCATTTCTATTATTTTGTTGTACCTGAATGGGGCAGTTCAGAAATTTGTTCCCAATTTGTCAGGATCATTTTTAGGAAAGTGTACATTTAAATTTGAGGGTCTAGGAGCCCATCCTTTATAACATATATTAATTTAATACTTTTCTTGACTAAGTAGGAGAAATGCATAATCTGAATTGCCATGATTTGTTTTATTTCAGAAGTTCTTCTGAACTATTTTTTTTCATTGAATATCATGCTGTCGTATTTTTAGAAAGAAATATTTTTCGACTTTGAAGTCCTTAGGAATTACTTTTTGGCATAATTTATCCACACTGTCCCAAGTGGCCTTGAAAAGTTCATAATTTCTCTCAGATGATGATATTCGTTGGCTTTTAAAGAAAATGTCTATAGTTTCATTTTGAAGCTCTTTAGGAAAAATTCTTGTGACTTGTATCATGTGGTAAAAAATTTTAAAACAAAAGATAAAATCAAATTTGGAAACAGTGATCGCAATTGGACACGTTGACCACCTGCAAGGTTTGGAGAATCTTTGCTGCATCTGGCTATGGCCTATGGCATCTGCACGCTGATCAGCAGTAGCTGAAGATGCGCCCTGAGGCCCGGTCAATGTGTTTTCGAGAAACCACCCTGCCTCCTGCTCACTTCATCTTCACCCGCTTCGAAGGGTTTGGAAAACTCTTTCGTGTAGGTCCATTGTGTTGTGCCAAGAACAGAACTGAGAATATTTAAGGTTCTTTCTTTTCCCATAAAATGTCATCATTACCAGAACCAAAAGATGTACAGAACTTCTCAAGCCTCCTTCAATACCACTCAGTTTTCTATGCACGCTAGATGCATTTTCATAGACCTAGGAGTGTGCTTTATTCAAATCAATTCCACTTTGTTGCCTTTTTTTTTTTTTTTTTTGCTGATATATTTTTATAACCCTGCACAAGGTGATTGATCCCAGTCATCTCTTCAGCATCCATGAAACTTGAGAACTTCTCTTTAATTAAACCTCCTGGATGGTGGCAGCCTGAACGTCCCACTGCCCTCTTTTCCTGACTCCAAAGTGCTCCTGCGGCAGAGCTCGAGTCAGCCAGAAGCCAGGCCTGGCTGTTGGGCAGGGCCTCTGTATGGAGACGGCTGGCTTAGGACTTTGTCTCCCTCTGGGCCAGACAGTAGGGACCGACAGCAGAGAGAGCTCTGGGTGAGAATCAGATCTGCACGATTCCAGGGAGAGCTTGGCGCAGGGATCCACCACAGAGGAAGAGCCAGCAGTCTTGGGTGGTCCTGGGAGGACCTGCAGTATCCCTGCCTGCCCCGAGGCTGGGAGACAGACACAGAGAGGCAGAGTGAGCGCTCCCTCCTGGGGCACAGTGGGGCACGCCAGTTTGTCAGCTGGATCTGAGCCTTGGGGATGATTAGAGCTGTAGGAGGAGAGCAACCACAACCTGCACAACAGCAGGAAAAACAGAAACAAAACAGTCTGTATGCTTTTTAAATAACCAAATGCAAAATAAAATGTGTTCCTGAACTAGGAGACGTAGTTTTAAATTTAAAATAAATTGGGGGAGAGGATGGAGAATTGGGAAACAAAGTGGGAGAGAATGCAAAACCCAAAGCAAGAATAGAAGAGAGAAACTGTATAGGGAAAACCAAGGCCCTAAGAAGAGAGAGATCCATGAGACATCATATGTGAATAATAAAAATAAGAGTAAAAATCCTAGAAGGAAAAAAAGAACAAATAGAGAAGAAGCAATCATTTTAAAATGAGAAAGAAAATTTTCCGTGGTTTGAAGAACGCCCGGGGTTTGCATATTGAAAAGCTCACTGAGTTCCAGGCAGGAAGGATGGAAAAAGACACACATCTACACATAGCTGGGAAGATTCCCGAATTCCATGATTAAAGGGAAAACTCATATAAGCTTCCCAAATGAGAGAACAAGTTGCATAGAAAGAAGAGAATCAGACTGAAGCCATCCATTTCTTTTGCAATGCTAGAAACTAATGCAGATCACCCCACAGACTACTGAGAGAAAAGCATCCTGTAGCAGCCAGGGTGCCATTCACCTACTCAGGATGGAAACAATGCAAAGGTCCAGAGAATTTCCCTGTACGGGTAGGGAAAATATGAGAGAAAGGAACTTAATCAGGCAGTAAATGAATCAGACTGAAGATGAGGGAGATAAAGAAAAGAGGGTGCCATGGTGAGCCATGAACCTATCAATGCATGTGTCGTTAGCTCCAAATGGACAATGAAAAATGAGATGGAATTTGTAATACAAGCACCAAATAAGTATTTTCTTTTAAACAGAAGAGAGTTGCAAGACCGATGGCTAGCCTACAACTAAAAGTGCTAAATGATGTTGGCAAAATGTAGGAGTTGATGGAGGGAAATGGGATTAGCAGAAGCATTTTAAATATCTCTTATTGGCAGGGGAAGAGAAATAAGGCAAGAGCGTCCCTCAGTGGGAGGGATTAATTGACACCCAGCTGCCATGAAAGTTTTTTTATTATGAAAATCAGAAGAGGCGAGATCAGCGTTAGTGAAAGACAGCAGACAGCAGACCTTCCGAAGTAACAAGGGACAAAGAGGAATGACAGGCATCTATGGTCAGTTGTTTCATTCTTTTTATTTCCCTAATTTTAAAAAATCTTTTCTTATGGAAACTCCTAAATAGACACCACAAAAGAGAGAATAACAATGAATGACTCTTTTTTTCCTTCTTTTTAAAGCTGGGGATATATTGATGGTTACAAAATTCTGTAACATTTCAGTTATTTTTCCCAGCAATTTCATTTAGAATTTGCACACTTTTGTAGAAATCGTCATTTATCAAAAGATTTCTTCTTCAGTTTTGATTCTGATAACTCCAAATATATGCCTTCAAAAAGATTTAATGAATAAATAAATAAAGATAAAAAGACAAGGCATGTTCTTTGCCTGGTCAACATTACACTAGCTTCTCCATGGCTGATTTTTTTTTTTTTTTTTATGGCAGACAACTAGCAAAAGTTACAAAATGCTAAATCCTTCTGATTGGTAATCAAGACTCTTCAACATTGCTAGTGTTTGCACAGACCTTTTCATGTATTTTAATAGGTGAGATAAACTAGCATTTACCTTCATTTGATAGGGGACACCTGGCTTGAAATGGTGTCATTCATTCTCTGCCTTATTTTGATGCCAGGTGTTCTGGAAAACTCCATACCATGACTCAACTCTCTGGGTGAACTCTTGGTATAAAATGACAACAGACTGTTTTTGTTCTTAACTAATCACAGTTTCTAAGAAAAAAAAAAAACAAAAACCCATAGCCAACCTTGGTCAAGACACCAAAAACAAGAGTAGGAAATATTTGCAAACATGGTGATAAACACACCAGGCAGGAGGGCAAGGGGACGCCAGGCAGGTGGAGAGGGCACACGGGAATGCCAGCATCAATCAAGTTGTTCCCAAACATCCATAGTTTTTTTTTTTTTTTTTCCTTTCTTCTTAGTGAAAATGTGTGGTTCTTTTACATTGCCACAAAGCAAATAGTAGAGCCCTGTTTTATAATTGCCATACCTGGTTTCAGGTAATTTTTGAAGTCCCTGTCGTGTTTCTGCTGGTTCTAAATTTGTTTTCCTCTGCGAATGTGGTCGGGGAGCACCAAACCTTACACCAGATTCTGCCCCAGACCTACCCTTATAGCCCTGGACTCTCCCCAGAACCGTGTGTTTGTCCCCCCTGCCCCCCAACCAAGCTGCCCAGGGCTGTGGTCCGCAGGCAGCCACTGTGCCGGCAGCCACTGCAGACCCTCCCTTGAAACTTCACTCCTCCTCGGGCCCCTCTCAACATCCCTCTAGCCCGCCCCGAATCTCAGGAGAAAACCTCACCTCCTGTTTAGCTGCAGCAACAGAGGCCATTTCTGCTTCCTGCCACCCCGTCGGCCCCCTCCAGACCTGCAGGCCTCTGCGTGCCAGGCCTGCTGCTCCTTCCATCCCGCCTCCCTGGGGCCCGGGCCGACCCTGCAGAGGAGCGGCCTTGCTTCCCCGTCTGGGCTCCTGCCCCTCTGCTGGGAACCGCGCGCCCAGCTCCTCCATGCAGCACGCTTGCTTCCGAGGCCCCTCCTCGTCCTCTGCCTTTGCCGTCTCCTCCCGCTCCCCGTCGTCAGGCACCCCGTGCCCCTTTCACCACCCTTCGCTGGGATTTAGCCCAACTCAGCCCAGGCAGAGGCCGCCCCTGTCTTCTCTCTGGTCGTGAAATCCTCACCCGTGGTTTCTCAGAGCCTCCTGCTGGGAACGGTCGCCGCCTTGCTCCCGCGTCTCTGCTGGCACCTCTCGCGCCCGCCCCTCCGCCTGCTCCTCTGACCACATCTTCCCGAGCGCCTTCTCTGACTCCTTTTCCTTGCTTTTCCCCTTAAATGTCCCCAGCTTTCTTCTTACACACAAAAACTCCTTTGGAGATCGCTTGGTCCCCATGGTCTTAACTTTTGCCGACGGGTTAACTTCTCTCCAATTTCAGATACGTGAAATGGGGTAGGTTTTGAACATTCAACTTGTATCTGTTATGAAAACTTTTTTTTTTTTTTGGTCTTTGTTTTCCCCTGCATTAGGGCTTATTCAGTCCATCCCTCTGGGGAGGGCAACCCTTGCCAGGGTGGAATGTAAACAGCTCCCCGCTCCCCAGGGAAGCCAGCTGACTGGGACTTGAGTGTCTAAAGTTGGCACCCTCAAGGCGGGAAGCCCCCTCCTCTGCTGCTGACAATCGGGACTCCGGATGTAATGGGCAGTCCAGGCTCTTCCCGATTATGGAAGAGAATGAGGTTTGGGGGAGGACAGAGGGAGGGCCCCCAGAGAGAGCCAGGACAGAGGTCGGGAGAGAGGGGCAAGGGTGGGGGGACACAGCAGGGTGCCAAAGCTGGAAGGGTGGTCGGTGGTGGGGCAGGGAGGGACAACTATAGGGGCATCAGAGGGGCTCAGGGCTCCAGCCAGCCCGTGCCCTCTGACCAGCTGCCTCCACCAACCATCTCGGAGGAGGGAGGCCACCAGGACCACCAGTGGAGTTGGAGGTGGACCTTGCACTAGAGGGCCACACTGAGCACACCTCATCTCCCCCCAAGCCAGGAAGGGTCTGTGGACAATGGGACACCCCAACTATGTGCATATCCTGTCGCCCCTGGACATTCTCCTCCTCCAGATATCTGCAGGCACCTCCAATTTAACATGGCTTCCCTCCAAACTTGTCTGCCCCTCTTTCCTTGTCTCTGCAAAAGGGACCCCTAAGCCAGAAACCTAGAGTCATCCTGGAACCCCTCAAAAGTCACCAGGCCTACCAGCTCTACTCCTAATCTCTCTGGATGCTTTCTGCTCCCGCCCATCCTCACCAACAGGGCGCACAGGCACCAACATGGCCTCCCTGACCAGTCTCTCCCTCCCCTGCCCAGGGACTCCACAGTGGGCAGCCGGGGCCCTTCATGAAACCAGAAGCACAGGAGGAGGAGGAGGGAGCGGGGATACTGCCTGGAGGTGGGACAGTGGGGCTGTCGGCAGGGATGAGCCAGCAGCCAGGGAGGAAGATGCCCTAATCCCAGCACAGCCCCGGGGCAGGGGCAGGGGAGGGATAAAGTCCCCCCCGTGGGAGCCTCCTGTCCACTCTTTCCCAAAGGAACTGGGGCTGCTGGCCAACGCCAGCCCAGCGTAGCCAGGAATGTGGGAGCCCCTGGCTGCGAGACTCAACCTGGGGAAGGCCCCAAAGGTCACACGGTGGGTGGCGAGAGCAGGTGGGTGGAACTCGGCAAGAGGAGAAGGCTGGGGTGCTTGTGGGGGTGGGGCGGTCAGAGTGGTCAGGCCCTGGCAGGGCCCTATTGATTTTTTGTTGTCGTTGTTATATTTTTGTTAGGGAGCCCTTTTGAACAGACACACAATATATCATCTAGTCCCAAGCATGAGACATAGGCTTGGGGCCCTGCCAGAGGGGGAGCCCACAACTGACCTTAGCCCTGACCCATCTCTCTGGCCAGCTTACTGACGCCTGGCAGCTGTCCCTCCAAAAGGCCACCCTCTGTCTCTAGCACCTCTTGCTGCATCCTGGCACCAGCCTGCCTGGTGCACCCTCCTCATGGCTACAGTGACTTGTCTCAAACCCACGGTACATCCACTCAGCAAACACAGGCAGCAGATGCCCCGCATCCAAGACTGCCAGAAACAGACCATGGCAGCAGCAGGCAGTGGGGGCTGAAGACCAAACATCCTCGGGCACCACCTCCCTGGCCTCCCAAGTCCTCAGCCTACACGCAGCCTTCCCCACTCCAACAACATCCCCTCCCAAGCTCCACACTCTGATGGGAGCACAGCTCTCCACCAGGGCTGCCCCCTCCCCAGGCTGCTCCTGACCCCTCCTGGAGCTTCTCCTAACTCTCATCCCACCTCTGCCCCTCCTCGTCTCAGGTGCCTTGAGCACAGATGCTGGGGCCACCTGTCTGTGCTTCCAGCACTGAGCCCGGCAAATGTCCCAGCAAATTAAAGAATTAAAGCAGAGCAGGTCAGAGGTAAGGACAGTGTCTGGGTGAAGGTCAGGTCCTGCCTGTCCAAGCATGAGTTTTCCATGGCAACGACCTGCCCTCCCCTCCCCCTGTGGAGGTAGCCCCCTCCCCCACCTGTTTTGGCCTCTGCGCCCGCTGTCGCATGCCCACTTCCCCCATCAGTCACCGGCGGGTAATCCTGTGTGGTTTTTACTCTGGTGCCCATGAATAGAAGAGTTAGAGGGGTGCAGGCGGGAGCCCTTCCCAGGCCTTGCACCCGCCCCACCTCCCAGCCTCTCCCCGTCCCTGTCCTAGACAGGCCCAGACGCCAGCCCAGGGCCAGCTGTGCCACATGATCTCACCAACCCCCACCTTCCCCAAGGCCTCCCAGCTCCAGGCTCAGCCTGGCTCTGGCTGTGGTGGGCACAGGACATGCAGACCCTGTTGTTGAACCTTGCCCCTCTCCATGCTCTTGCCCACACGCTGTCACCCCTGCCCCCATCCTGACATTTTCTCTCCCCTCTGTCTGGCACCTTCCAGATTCCTTCCACACCCAGAACCCCCAAATCAGCCACCAAGGCCTGAAAGCCTCTGGAATCTAGCCCTGTGCCCCACATTGGGCCACCATTGGCCTGGTGGTACCCCACCTCCTGTGCATAGAGGCAGTGGCAGCCACAGAGCATTCTTTGTGTCCTTCACGAATAGCTCTGTGCGCATCACCCCCCTGCTGTGAAGTCCAGACTCTTCACACAGGGATTTAAAGTCCCTGTTCTCTGGCCCTCACCAAGCTCTCTTGGGGCCTGGGCCACTCAGAGCTCTGCAAGTTTCCCCAAACACCCCAGGCTCTCTTCTGCCTCCAGGCCATGCATGTGCAGTGCCCACCACCTGGGGTGTTTCCCCCACGTGGTGAACTCCAGTGTCACCTGTTCTGTGAAACACTCTCTTCCCCCTTCTCCCATGTCCAGGCCCCAGTCACTTCTTCCTCTGTGAGCCCATGCCACCCTACGATCCTGACCACACTGGGTACCATGTTCATTGTCCCCTCTGCTTGCAGGTCTGTCTCCCTGTTTTGGGTCAGATTCCCAAGAGCAGAGCCTGAGACAGAAATCCAGGTACAGGTGATTGACTGGGGGTGGGGCTGGCTCTCAGGAGAAATACATAAGGGAGGGAAGGAGAGGAAAGGGGCAGAAAGAATGCATCTCAGGTAGAGTCTAGATGGGGCCTGACCCAGGGGCTCTGTGACATACACCTCACTGCCAAGCTGTTCCCACTGAGTTGAGAGCGCTGCCGTTTGTGTCCCTGTGTCAGCCAGTCACTGGCTGTGGGGTGGGAAGTGGTTGTCATCAGCCAAGGGCGATTGGCAGGAAGAGGGGCAGCCGTGACCACTGGGGGCATCATACCTGCAGCCAGGGGATGCGTGGGCTCACTGGCAGGGCAAAGGGGGTCTGGCCGGGGTACCGACAGCATCTACCACAGCTCCCTGTCGAGAGGGACCTCTGACAGATTTTCAGATGAGTGAGAAATACATGGATTCCTGGCCTACCCAAGCACTGATATTCCCCAAACCCACAGCTGCACATGCTTCCCTGAGAGAAGGTCCTGCCATAGCCTGAAGGGGCACAATCACCACTGCAGTGACTGGAAAGGAGCCCAGACGTCCAACTCCCAGGGAAGGACTCTCTCCCCGCACCTCTCACTGAGCGTCTGTCATATACCCGACCATGCAGATGGGGCTCTAGCCAATGTTCTCATTGTTTCCTCATAATAACCATTTTACAGATGGGAAAACAGAGGCTCAGAGGATGAAATAACCCTAGGGAGGTCATGTAACTTGTGAGGGGAAGAGCTGGGATTCAAACTTGGGTCTAATTGGCTCCCTGCCTGGTTCCTTCCCCCAGTGCGTCAACCACCTCAGAGCTCAGCCCTATCTGCCCAGTTTAAGAATCTGGCGAGTCCAGGGTCATCTCTCTGCCCCACAACAGGGCTCAGCAGAACTCAGGGTCCCCTAGGGCCACATCTGGAGTTTGCAATAGTTGGGAGGCCCATGAGTGTATTTTGCATATAATTTGCATAGTGGTCGCATATGGTTTGCATGTGTCCACGCTGAGAGCCTATCAGCACTACACAATTTTTTAGCTGCTTCTAAGCTGCTCTCACTCAATGGAAGTCCACCCAGGCTTTACAGAGTACCATTTCCATGATTTCTGGACTCTTTCCCAGGCCCTCAACTTGGGACTGCACATCTACTTGCCCCAGGGTCTTGGACAAGCCATGCTTCTGCCCCAGAAATCCACTCGTGTGGACTTGACAGTAACTTTGTTGATGGTGCAAGTGTAAACCAACTGCTGATGCTGATGTTGAGAAGAGAGGCTGGGCAAAGTGCCTCACTGCACAGAACTTCCAAAGGTGGGCTCATGTGCAGGGAGGCCTAGATGTGCAGTCACAGAAAAAGGAGAGGAGGTGGGCAGGGACAAAGGGCTGGTTTGGAATCAGGAGCCTGTACCCTAGGGCTAGTGCCACCAGCGGTTGGCTTTGGAGGCTGTGCTTCTCTGAGCAGCAGGGAGCTCATCTGCAGCAGGAAGAGCTTGTACCAGAAAGCCAGCAGTTTCAGTGCTTCCTATTTCTGTTTCTTTTTGGGGAACCACATTCCCTAAAACTTTGTGTGGTTCTCAATGATCTGATGTGACAAACTCTTGATAATAAAGGAGAGACACATCCTGAGTGAGGTGAAAGAAGCCTGGAGAAGGGAGAAGAACCTCAGATTCTGGGACAGGGAAGGGGCATCCCAGGCACGTGGGATGACAGCACCAGAGCCACCCGTTAGCCCGCCACCAAGCAAGCCTACACTCTGAAGCTTCCTGGATCCATTCCCGCATCTTCTCTGCCCCCAGCAGCCAGTTCTTTCCTTCTGCCCCAAGAAGCCCACAGAGGAAGAAGGGAAGCTCATGTCCCCACACAGTGCCTCTGAAGGACTCTAAATGCAAGACTGTACCCTTGTCCCTGTCCAGGATGACCTTGCCGTCCTGATGGCATCTTCTGTTCTTCCTGAGAAGAGTGGAGGTGAATCTGTCACCAGGGGCTAGGGAAGGTAGGGAAAGTATACTCACTTCCATGTGGGTGCGAGAGAGAGGGGAGAGAGAAAGAGGTGTGGAGAGGTGGCCAACATGTCTGGATGTGGCCATGCATGTCCTTGTGGACAGAAACCATGCTTCTGCATGTGGACCCTCAGCCTGTCTCCATCCAGGTGTAGAAACTCCAGTCTGAGTCGGGGCAGAACATGACTGTCTGCCTTCCTCCCCTGCCTCTGGCCTCCCTAGGTTTCCTGTCTGGCAGATGCAAAGTGGCCTCATGTCTATGCGGGAGAGCCCAGCCTTTGGTGCAGCCAGTCAAGCCCCCAAGCATCTCTCCATACTGTCGTTCTCCGCCCCCACTGGGCTGGGGCCCAGGCCCTGGCTCCCGAAACTGTTCCAATTAAAGAGGGAGCATGGTGTTTGAGATCAGCCACCTGGGAAAGGGGGAAGAAGGATCCAGCTGTCCTTTCGGCGCCCTGTTACATGGACATTTCTAAGTTTAAACAGGGTCCTGCCTCCTCTCTGCAAGTTGTGGGCCCCACATCTGGGGCTGGGAAAAGGAGTCAGAGGAGGGGTGGAAGCCCCTGGAAAAAGATCACAGCTTCGGGGTTGGGGGAGTTTTCTCCCAGAGCCAGCTGGGCAGGGCTGCCAGGCAGTTGGAACCCAGCCTAGGATGAGGAGCTGGGCTCTGCTCATTTTCTCCTCGGATGTCTCTCACTTTCTGAAAAGCAGAAAGTCAGTGGTTATAAGATCAAGAGCATGATATGGATCCTGTGTATCTTGCCCCCAGCAAAATGGCTCATAACATCTCTGTTAAAGGTTGGAGAATATACAAGGTACTTCAAAAGGTTCATGGAAAATAGAATTAAAAGATAATACAGATCCTTCCACGAACTTTTTGAAGACCCCTGTAATAGCACGTTTGGTGGACTTGTGAAAAGGGTGAAAGGCTTTCTTAAGCACCATTTGGTTGCTGGGATTAAGAAACCTCTTTAAGCCAGCTCAAGTCGTTGGTTATTGGAAACAGACAGGAGAAGCTACATCTTGTCACCAAATGGCTACTCAACACTCTTCTTCCTGAGTACCACAGTCCCTTGTCTCTGCCCTGCTCTCCCCTAGTCAATCCTCTTCCTCAGCTCCCCAAATCTCCCACAGAGCTATAGGTGTAGCATACCATGGTCTGTCCTCTCACCACCCCCAAGGGCCCCTGTCATGGATTCATGTCCACCTGGAACCTCAGAATGTGACCTTATTTGGAAATAGTGTCTTGCGATGTAATCACTTAAGATGAGGTTATGTTGGACCCTAAATCCAATGACTGTGCCTTAGAAGAAGAGAAGGCACAAACACACAGAGGGAGAAAGGCCAGGTGAAGAAGGCTGTGCGCAGACAAAAGCAGAGATGGGAGTGATGCAGCTACGGAGAATTCCTGGCCAAAGAACGCCAAGGACTGCCAGGACCACAAGAAGCTGGGAGAGACAAGGAAGGACTCTTCCCTAGAGACTTTGGAGGGAGGATGGCTCTGCTGACACCTTGATTTTGAACTTTTAGCCCCGAGAATTGTGGGAGAATAATGTTCTGTTGTTTTAAGCCACCGAGTTTGTAGTCATATGGGAAACCAATACAACCTATACCTTGAAGGTGGATTCCTTCGGCCTCTGTGTTCTGATTCCAAAGCCCAGGAGAAAGAACAATCAGCCCAGCTTAGGTCAACTGTCTGCCCCACGGGACCCACAAGCTCCCACCACCAGGAGAGAGGACAGGGGCACAGATGTGGGTTTCAGAGCTGCCAACTTCCAGTATCCTTGATAACATCACCTTACCCAAAAGGCGTTGCTTTGCATCTCAAAGTCAGTTTGGAGGGAGCTCTCTCCAAGCAAGCCTCAGAGTGCTGTGCATTTTGCACACCTGTCAGTTACTTAAGGAAAGACACTGGAGCCTGTAGTCACCTGTGTGGATGAGACAAAGCCAAGATGAGGTGCTACTCTGTTAGGTGACAGAATCAGGATTCAAAAGGGCTCTTTCCAGGTTAGAAAATTAACCAGGTGCTGTTGAATGAAGATGACTATAACGGCCAATCTTTGGGTTCCAAGAGCCAATTTCACAAGCAAAATATGGAGGAAGCCTGGCTTAACTGCGGCTTCTTGTGAAAAAGACCTAAAGATTTTCTTTGACCAGATGCTAATTACGAGCCAGAGCCGGGGCCCAGCTGGCTCAGAGCTTCAGTCGCATAAAAAGAAGCGAGCATGCTTGGCCGGACTGGAGAGGAGACGGGCGTTTGGGCTCGGTGCAGCCCATACATAAGAGACAGCGACAATTTGAACTCCATGAGAGAACCAGCGGGGCAGCCTGGCCACCAGACTAGGTCGCAGACGTCGGGAGGGAAGGGAGGGGTTAAGAAGCCTGGGGAGGGGTCAGCAGTTATTAGATGTTTGGGGCATCCCCAGACCACGATGGTGCCAGAAGGCAGAGCTGGCCAACAGAGACGGTCTGGGGCCTTTTCCAGGGAGGTGGCTGAGGAGGTGGTGCTGGTGTGCCCCCAAACTCGGTCATCTCAGCTCCAGAGTCCTGGACCGCGGTCCCCTGGCGCATGTTGGGCGGCTCCTTGGAGTCCCGCGCCCAGGTCGGCCTCAGGGGTCCACCTCCCTGCTTCTCGCCTCGTGCCTGCGGGCGACGGTCGTGGCTGCGCGTGTTTGGGGGATCTCCTCGGGCGCGGCGGCCTGCGCCCCTGCCACCGGGGGCTGCTCCTTTCTTAACCTCGGGCTTACAGGCCGCCCCTCGGGCGTCAGCTCGGAGCCGGGGCGGGGGCTGGCGGCGGAGGAGGGGGCCGGCGGAGGAGGGCGGCGCGACCCCGAGTTTATGCTAATCCGCGCAGA